GGGACTTCTGTGGGATGGCTCTGGGTGGTGTCCTGCTGGGGACAGCATGAGGAAGGGGGACAGAGAGTAGGGCACAATCAGGGTCATGTGCCTGGGGCTGGCTACACCATGGGGCAATCCCTGCCCAAACACATATCCAGCCCTGGGCATGTGCAGGAGGTGTTTTCCCTCCTCCAGCAGACATTGCAAAGATACCATGTTTGCGAAGTGATGAGAAGAGGGAGGGAGGGAGGGAGGGAGGGAGGGAAGAGAATCTTGACTCGCCTCCTCCCTCCCAGCTTCCTCTCTCCTTTTAAATCTCTTCCATGCATCATTTGAGCAGTGGGACGGGAGCCCTGAGGAGTGAAACCTTGTCTCTGGCCGAAGGCCCAGGCCTGGGGCGGGATGTGGGTGTGTAAACCCCATGCCATAGGCCCTTGCTCTGGGTCTGATCCACAGCTTGTAGTCACAACCAGCCTTCAAACCAGGGGAAAACCAGAAAACACTAATGAGAGGGAAACAACTGTTTTCCAGCTTCACAGAGCCCACGCCCTAGAACACAGGTCTCTTCCCCTGGCCCCAGGAGCATGTTGCCCCAATGGCCTCCTCACCCTTCCCCTGAGAGAAAGGCAATAATCAGCTTTCCTGCCTTTAAACCTTGCCATGGGGCTCTAGCCGTCTCTCAGGGATGAGTTGAGGTTGTTCCAACACACAGGCAAGGAAAGACGGGGATGTGAGTACTGGTGCCTGGGTCATGACATCAGCAGTGCTGGCCCTTGGCAGCCAGGAGGAGATGCTGGATCCACTCCTGATGTTGTGGGCTCCCTGGAACACCCAGCATCCCAAACCAGAGGCTTCCCTGGTATCCCCATCCTGTTCCCACTCTGCCTGTAGCCAGGAGCAGGATTAGCAGCAGTGCTGAGGTATATTGCCCCCCTCTACCTGGCCCTGGCTCCTGACAGCACCCACGTGCAGCAGATAAGGGACTGCCTTGGACCCACATCTCAGCCAGATAGGGCAGCGGCTTCCCAGAGCCGCAGAGAAGCCAGTGAGCATCAAGGGTGTCATTGCCTGCTGGGGTCAGAGGATCTGGAGAGGTCACATCCCTTTCCCACACCCTTCAGTCACAGGGGATAACTCCTCCAGAACGCTGTCCTCACTCTGGGGCTCTATGCAGTGGCCCAAGGACTGTGCCATGTATTGCCTACCACATCCAGCTCCATCCAGTGGAGTGCAGAGGAGACAGACTCCCTACATCCATCTGAGGGATCCCTGAGATGTCTACAGGCTTGGAAGCAGCGGGCTGGGAATAGCTGGTGAGTCAGAGCCCTGTGTTGTAACGTGGGGGGCAGAGCGCGTGTTGGAGCAGGGATGGCCGTGAGCTGCAGTGTGGGGCCCGCCTGGGCCTTTTGCAATCCTCTGGGGAAAGGCGAAGTCAGTGTCTCCATCCCTTAATTAAAGTGTGCCACAGGGCCCCGCTCCCGCCTGTTTACGTGGTTCATGGGGCTGGACAGAGGAGCAGCAGCCCGGGACATGGGGAGGAGGGCGGCCTCATCAGCCCTTCCCTGGGCTGGGGCAGCCGGTGCTCTCGAATGCAGTCTCTGGCTCCTGCAGCCAGGTCTCAGCCTTGGCCCCATGGTCTCTCAAAGACAGTTTTTGGAACCATGAGCTGATTCCAGTTCTCTACACACCTCCCCTCCCTCCTTGTGAGCGCACATGAACCTCCTTCCCACCTCCCCATTGCCCTCCACCCCCATCCCCCCCCAGCACCGCTCTTCCAGAGAAAACCTGGCCCCCGTGTGCAACCCTTGCCCATCGAGGAACAGAAGGTGACACAGCCAGGATGTCATCTCTGCCGGCTTCACGTCCCGCATCACCAGCCTGACCTAGAAACACTACCACGTCTCGTGCGCCGGAGCCCGGGGATGCTGCAGGCTCATCCCTCTGTTTTTTCCAGAGCAGCTGAGTGACAGTCGCCCCTCCCTTGCCTCTCCGAAGAGCGTAATGAGAATTTCCTCCGAGGAGCAGCTTGCCGCGATGAAATAATCGCCCGAGCAGCATGATCTTCACCGGGGATTAGAGAGGCTGCTACTTGCTGAGCTAGGGAAACGGCCGGTGAGGAGGGAAAAGTCCGACCTCCTCCTCCGGCACCTCGGCCAAAGCAATCGGCTGCTGCAGACGGAGCGAGGTCTCAGGCAGAGAGCTCAGCCCTGGAAACTTCTGTCCCCGATGCTCGGGCACTTTTGCAAAGTCCCCTTCCACCCTCCTCCTTCTCTCTCTGCTCCCTGAGGAGCCGCTCCCCAGCCCTGGCAGTCCGGAGGGGTGGAGAAGAGGTAAAGAAGCAGCTGCCTTTTACAGGCAACAGTTCCTGTTGTTTCTTTTTGGACTGCTGAGGCATAAAGCGCCGAGCCGAGCCTGCTTCTCCCTGCCTTACGCGCACAGGCGCTCGCCCGCCGGTTATCCCGCTGCACAGAGGGACGGCAGCAAGGGCTATACATGGATTTCCGACGCGGAGTGGTTTAAGGCAGTTTTGCTTCCACTGCAGGCTTGGTTGTTTTTTTTTATCTCCAGTCCTCCCACCACCACCCCCCCCNCCCCCCCCCCCCCCCCGCCCCCTGTCCTCTGTGAGATCCTGGTGTGACCATCCCTTGAGGATTCCTAAATTCCGAATTTTCTTCCTGAAATATCCCACATCTCATTTTCTTTTTTTAACACTTCCTGAAACGTGGGAACCCCAAGCCCGAAGGAACATCCCTAGTTAGAGCAGAAGGCACGCATGAAAGACAAGTTTTAGCAGAAGTGATTTTTTTGAGGGGTCTGGGCTTGGGTGTTTTTTTTTTCTCTTTCCTCTTTCAAACACATTTCGAATCTCGCTGGCCGCCAGCTCCCGGCTGGGCTGTGGCAGAGGGCGCTCCTGCCTCCAGCACTGCGAGCAACCTGCCCCAAACCCACTGAGTCCTGTCTCCGGGAATAGCAGCTGCCCTTGTCTCGAACACTCCAAGCGAGAGGCGTAGCCAGAAGCAACCAGAAATCCCGGTTTCCACAGCCCTCTCCTTCCCCTGAGTGCATGGAGAAGCTTTTGCCCTGCTCCCACCCAGTCCTGCCACCAGGTCAGAGCGGGACATCCGACGTGCGAAATCCATCATCCCCAAAAGGTCCCAAAGCGAGAAATCCATCGTTCCAAAATGTCCCTCCTGACAAAACGCCAGCAGTGCCCGACCTTCGTGAGCGGGGCACCGCTGTGTCGACAGCGCCTGTGATCCAAAGCGAGAGTTGCTCGTGGGGTCGCAGCCCCTGGGGCCAGGGGACGGCCAGGGCAGGGGGTGGCTGGCCCTGGTACGAGGTCACTCCAAGGGTCAGCGGCCGCTGTGAGGTCTCGGCCGTGCCGGTGCCGAGCCCTGTGGCCCTGATCCCTGTCCCCATGGCACCATCTCCTCAGTGCTGCTCCCACGAGGGGCAGGACACGGAGACTGAGGAGTAGAGTGCTGCATGGTGCACCCAGGCACAGACCAGCCTGTTTGCTTGCTACTGCGCTGAGTGGGAGGGACATTTTGTCCTGGAAACGGGGCCCTGTCTCTGTGTCCAGCCGCCGGGGGCGTGTGGGGATGGGGCAAGGGACGCCAGCGCCATGACGCCTCGTGTCGCGACGCCTGGTGCCAGGCGGTGTGGGGACTACCATGGCTTCTCCACAGCTCTCCTGAAGTCGTAAAGGGAGGAACCCCGGGTCAGCGTGGCTCCTAGTAGCCGGGATCAGCGGCCACCGCCCGCGGCAGCCCCTACCCCGGGCTCCCAGCCGACCCCCGTCAACTCCGCTCCACAGCTCCGCCCCGAGTCGCCTCCGGGTTTTCAAAACCACTTCGCCGTAGACAGACAGGCGGCGCAGCCAATAAGAAGCCGCAAAGCGTCAGTACAGCGTTCGCCTGGCGCTGCTGACCAATCCACATCGTTCGATGCCTATATCCCGCCCTCCGAGGACAAGTTCTGCCTCAGTCCGGCGGCCATATTGAGTGTGGCAGCCCCGCTGTTCTCCGTCTGGAGGGGCGTTTTTCCCACCCCTTCACCCCTTAATTCGCGCTTTCCGCACCGGGGACCATTCGCGCGCGGCTCTGTCTCACCCCCGGGGCCGTTGTGGGCGGCGGAGCGGCTCCCAGGGGATGGTAAAACCGTGTTGTTGCCCCACGAAGCGCTCTCGGCGCCATCTTGAGTGTGGCTGAGACCCCTCAGTCGCTGCGTCGGTGCCCCGCTACCCCGCGGTGTGAGGGGGGACAGATGCGGTCGCGGTGCCCGCGGGCGCGGCGCGAGGGGCACGGCCGTATATAACGGGGAGCTGCCGATAGGGAGCATTGGGAAGCTCCTGGTGCGCTTCGAACCCAGTACTCGCAGAAGGTTGCGGGGAGGGGGCAGGAGAAGCAGCTTGGGTACTTTTTTTTTTACTGTAAAATAAGCAAACGGGTGGGAATCCCGCATTTCTGAGCGGCAGCCTGGGCGGGCCGCCCCTCCCCGCTCCCCCCAGGGGCGGCCGCGGTTGTTGTGACCAAAGTTTCCGCGGGGCGCCGAAAACACAGAGAACGAGGGGGCCTAGCGGGGTACCGAAGGGCCGGGGCTGCCCCGGGACCACTGGCGGCCCCGTGGGAGCGCGGCTGGGGGAGGGCAGCGCCAGTTCTCCCGCACTACTGTTACTATTCTTATTTTTAACTCTTATTATTTCCCCTCCGCCCCTCCGCAGGCGCGGCGGCAGCTCCCCCCTCACGCCCGCCCGCCGCCTCACACGGCGGGAGGGGCGGAGCGGAGGCGGCGGGGGCGGAGGTAGCGCGGGGGGGGCGTGGCTCTGCTTCCCTCTGCGCCCGCCACGCCGAGACCGGGCCCAACTCATCGCCGCAGTGGCGGCGCTCGCCGGCTCCTTTAAGCGGCCGTGCCCCATTGTTTGCACCGCGTCCAATGGGCGCCCGGCGGCCGCGGCGCGCGCGGCCAATGGGGCGCGGCGC